CTCCGTGGTTCAGCCTGGAGGCTGCGTGATGGCCTTGAGGGCCAAAATTTGGGAACTCCCTGTCTAGGCATCCCTGCAGGAGCGATAGGAGCGTATCACGTACGTAAATAGCTCGGAGAGAGGGGTGACTGTCAAGGTTGCTTAGACCTCCGGGTGGACCGCGTTAAGGCCTCTGTGATGGGGAACAGAGAAACTTCTGAAATGACTTGCAGCCAATGGTCTTCTTGAACTAGCTCTGAAAGTAGTTCACGTACTCACAGAAACCAAGCCATTCCCGCTTATTTTCAGCGATTTCGAGAAAGAAGGTTTGAAATCCACGTTTCCTACGTGCCCGTAGCCTGGTGTAATGGTAGCTGTGCATGTTTCGACACTGGGCACTGTTGCAGCAGTGTTAAAAATGGGTCAAGATCCATTACCAGAGATCAGGTAAGGCTTTTCAAAACTGTTTCAAAAGAGCAGGACTCTCCTTCTGTGCCAAAGGGCTGTAAAAAAAAATGACAATAAAGTTCACAATTTTTCGGCACAACAGGTTGCATTTTTTTAATACTGTTTGGTTTACTAAAATACTACTAAAATACTACTAAAATCAGCCTAGTTGTTGTGTTTACTAAAACTTTCACCTGAAGGAATAGGTTCTATTTTAATCATAACCTAAATCTGCCTTCTACAGAAATGCCAGTGGCTCTATATTCACCTACAGAGTTCATCCTAGTAGACTCCATTTACTTCTTAGAGGTGAAACGTTTAATTTTCATTCTGCTTTTTTCTTACTGCTTTGGGTTGGAGGCAACACAAGTTGAAGGACTCTGAGGCCCCGATCGTGCAATGAGATCCGTGTGCATCTAAGCATCTCTATCAACATTAGGCTGTGGTTTGGCAGCGCAGAGAACCCAGCAGTACAACTCCTATTACTGGCTCAAAAACGGGGTGGCTGCATGATGATGTGAAGTGCTGGGCTGGTATTCATTCACTCTGCCTGCTCCAGTTAATTCAAGAAGTTTTTTGACAAGTTAACTTTTTACTAGCAGACTTTATGCTGGATCAGGTATCCCTGTGCACAACCCCAGCCAGATCAGGTATCGTCTGCACCCCTGCGGCTGGCGTTCGGCCAGCGTAAAATTGGCGTCGGCTCCATATCGTGTGCTCTGGCTCGCTCAGCAGCAGCATGATCATGTGCCGTGGCCCAGTCCTGATCCAGTTTGTACTCCTGGGTGATCCCAGCAACGTGCAGACCTGGTTTCTGTGAGTGTGGAGCCGTGCAGTACCCCATACAGTGGCTGGCACCAGGCTGTCACCCGGTACAAATGACCTTTGCAGCATTATTAGTTTGTGCTGTCGTGGGGGGCGGTTAACCACCAGGTCAACAAGAAAACTAGTAGGGGGGGATAGGTTTTGCTCGAGCAGCCTCACTCCCAGTCTGCTGTGCTCAGGCCAGTTGTAGAGCATCTCAAGCGCAAAGCAGCATTTCCGTGGTGTGAGGAGCAGGTGAAAGGTGCGGTGTCTCGCGTGCTGTGTGAGCCTCTCTGGGCGAGGGTTGCTTGGCTGAGGACTGAGATCGCTTACGAGAGGGCTGAGTCCACTAGGCATCAGGCAACATGAGAAAGAAATGTGGTGCAAAGGTGGTCTTGGTGTATCTTAGCAATTGTTGCATTACTCATAACTGGCAAAGCTACCGGCAACTTGCACAAGTCATCCTGAAAGAGTGCTCATGAAGTCTTTTACAGGATTATCCTGAATTTGACTGCAGAATCTTTCCATGGGAATAATGCAGTATTTCCTCTCTTTAAGCCTTTCACCTTCAAACCATGTTTGAAGGGGTGCAGGGGTGCAGGGAAAGGCACACTCTTTAGGGCATAAAAGCTTACCTGAAATACTTTTCTCTTCATGTTTTAGCAGGTTGTGTCTTTAGTGTCTGTCATGTGCAACCAGCAAAGGTCAGAAATAGGTGATGCATTTTCTGGAGATCCTGAAGTTCCCTTTCTCACATATTATATACTTCAAGCGTCTGTGCTTCCTTGAGTGTAATAAAGATTTACATGTTAAAGGAAAAGCCCTGGAATTTGGACTCAGAATCCTAATCTACTATGGGATGGGTTTTTTGAGGGGGGATGACAGTATTTTCTAGTAGATTTTTATTGCTTGCTTTAGCTAAATGATAGATGTTTTGAAATAGAGATTTTGAAAGACAAAGTGAAAGTGCATGAAAAGGGCCAATTTTTCACATGGTTGTTCAGCTGATTTTGTGTTTCCAGGAATAAGGAAATATGTGCCATGTTTTTCATTATCTCATATGGCAAAAATAGGAGGTGGTAATCACCCTGCGATAAACTGCATTTTATTAAAAATCCCTGCCTGCCTCGTATACACTCTGACAGCTGATCCGTCCCCCTGGAACTGTCTCCAGCATTCCAGCCCCTTGAGCAGCTCCCAACAGCCGCTTTCTCTTTTTTTTAAAGCACTTGCCAGATAAATGTTTCATTCTCTTTTTTTTTTTTTTTCCCCAATTACACCGGTGTTCAGCGGAGGCTGGACAGTTTTGCTTGGCAGGGGTTCAGGAGGATCCGCATAACTCGCTTGTGGCTTCTGCAATTGAAAGTAATTCATGCTGATAAAGCCGCATCATCATCTACCCTGTATCTTTCACTTCATGGTTGGGCCTAGTGCTCACCAGGTCTTTTTGCAGCTCCCATCTCAGTCTGGCCATGTTTGTTTATTTTGCTTCTAAATTTGCAGGGTAGCTTTTGGCTCAGATTAATCATGTAAGAGATAAGAAATACAGAGTCCTCCTCTACCTTTCCTTTTCTTTTGCCACCCTACTCCATGTGCTTTTGCATTTTTATGGCTTCAAGCCATGGAACAGAAAACTTGTTAATTTACCCATAGGAATCTCCTTAGCATTTGGCTTTTTCTTACCTATGGGCAGCGGCCACTGGCACTGCAGGACAGAAATGACACAATTGCTTGAACAATAAAGCCACGGTCTGCTGACTCTTCTCTCTCTTTTGATGCATTTAACATAAAAAATAATTCCTAAAGTACTGTACTTCCCTGCCTTGTTTCCCCTAGCTGACCATACTCCTTCCCCTGACCTAGCCC